CAGTCGAGGCCAAGAGGTAAGGTAATATAAAATTGAGGGCTATTGAGAGAACATGCATTTTTCTTCAAATTTAATTTACTTATCACATGACATTCTCACAGGCATTTTAAATTGCCAGCCATTTTCCATCTTGTGATTTTGGGATTAAATTATGAATTGAAGCTGGATTTAAGAAAAAAACCACAAACTGAAGGTAGTAGAAATGCCAGCACTGCTATTTGATAGTATTTATAAACAAAGGAATTTATCAGCTTAGGCTGAAAAGTGTAAATAAGAAAATGGCATAAAGGTGACTAGAAACAGTCCAAAATAGTACACAACAAGATTTATGAAAGAAAGTCATGAGGAAGTCAAAATACTGCTTAAAAATTAAAACACATTCAGTGGCAGGCAAATAAAAAACCCCAACAGGATGGGTGTTGAAACAGAGGTCACCAGACCTGTGAACAATAGAATGTATCAAACTATAAATTTTGTGAATTCTACAAGAATATTCCTAAGATTCAGAAAAGCAGAGGACAAACAGTTTACCGATTTGAAATAATCCTTCAAAGAAACAATGATCAGTACTGTAAAAACAGATGAAAATATTGTAAGTGTGAAAATAAATGGGATATTTACCCCTTCAAATAAGTTTGAAGTTATATTAGGAAAAAACACGCAAGCTAATAGAAGCAAAGGATGAGATTCCAAAAGTTAGAAAGTTAGAGGTTAGAAAGCCACTCATGCAGCTTGTTCATAAAGTACATGGAAAATATCAACTTAAAAAAAAAGTATCTAAGGGGAAAATGTTCTAATGTATTATAATCATCCCAAGTCTTCAATTTTATCAGAAGGGTACTTTCAATGCAGAGGACAGTATTATGTCAGAGACTGAGGTTATCTTCCAGAGATAGTTTTCAGAATATAGAATAAGGTCAAGTGAGTACAGGAGAGTGTTTAAAGAACCCGATGACTCTATGATTTATGTTCTTGTAAAGTTCAGAAAGCTCAGGATAAAGGCTAAAAGAGGAGCTGGATAGTCTTATGGTTTGGAAATTTTTGAATAAGTACATGGATACATTTGCTGACCAGTAAGGGAAAAGAGCATGGAATCTAGAATAACAAAATATGAAACAACAGAAAATTTCCCACAACTAGTAAGTGAAGAAGCCACAAAAAAAAAAAATTAACTATAACTTTCTCATCATCAGATACCAGGTAGTTTCCCTTAGAAAAAATGTGTGTACGAAAGACCTCATCTTTTTGTAGTGCATTTTGAATTGTCTAGCACAGAATGTGTTTTCTTGCAGAATAAAACTACTTTAAGATGCCTTGAAAGGCAGCATGGCCTACAGATAAGATGCTTAGGGGAGAAAATAATGACTAGGATCATTAGCTGTCAGTTTTGAGATTGATGCCAAACTGAACATGTCCACATATAAGTGTTTATGCTCTCATTATAATCAAAGCTTATTATAGGCAATAAAGCATAGAGAGCAACTCTGTTGGTTGGCAGGTTTTGGGAGAATCACATTGCTCGCTGGGCTCCACTGACCATACAAAGCACATGTGCAGGAACCTACAAGTAGACAAGACCATTTCGGTGTCCAAATCTCAAACTAAACACCACTAGCAGACACTAGAAAAAATAAGGGGAAGCATCAGTAATATAGAAGAACTAAGGTTCCCTCAGAGACATCCAATGCATTACAGCAGCAGTTATTTAGAATGAAAAGAATAGCATAAGGGAAAAAAATAATTGTATGTGACATGGACACTATGAAAAACATGCTTTAGCCTCAGTGTATCTATGTGGCATATTTTGGCTTTATTCAAACTGAAACTCAGCTCAAACCATTTACTGACATTAGCAAGGATGGGGATGGAAGTACCAATGAGAGTCTGAGCCCCACTCATCATTTTGGGAGAGCGATCTCAGTCCTTCTGTAGTGGTGGTGGTTACAGCATTGGAGTATGGGGAAAGAAAGGCAATAAGATATTCAGAATAAAGGAAACAATAAGGGGAAGAAGAGGAAGATCAAATAGCCAAGATGCATCATGACAGCTTTTATTGTCATTATCAAAAACTACTCAGTAACTATTTTGGTGTAGAAGATCAGAGACTATTTTTCAGAGTATGATTGAGAATTTCAATTCTAAAGAGAGGAAATAAGGCTGAAAGTTGTAAATGTACCGACTAGATAATCGATTAAACAAAAAGTACGTGGAGCAAAGTCTACAGCTACTTTATGTTTCATGTCAATAGTTGAAATAAATAAAATAGCACCAAAACATCTGTGGCTTCAAGTAACTAAACTGTTGCTGAAGATGTGACAATGGAATAGAACCACATGTTAATTAAGGAGGTAGTGGCACAGCAGTACTTTCTTTAGTTGCTAGCATCACTTTCATAAGAAGCTCAAGTACTAGATGAGGTTTTGGTGACAAGTCTGGCAAATTTTAAGGTATTAGGAAAACTGTATTAAAAGCAGTAGCTGAAAGGTACAATTGGGAATTGAAATACATGACAGAATGGATGATTACAACTTATACTGAACTTCAGTGAACAATCATATTAAGTAATTACTTAATATTTGGATGTGCAATTCAAAGGACAGTGTCCACACCAGTGGAGAAACAAAAATGAAACCCAGGGGTTCATATGCCCAGTTGCCACCAATTTGGAAGACTGGGATCCAGGTACAGCTGCTGGAGGCATCCACACTGGACACACATATACATACATTCTCACAAGTGGACCTCCATCCCACTCAGCCAGAAGATGGAGCCAGATGAGGCTGCTGGTACTGTCTGGGTTCATGCGAGCACCGTGTGTGTCAGTATGTGATCTGCATGTCTGGTCATGTACATAAGTATATGCACATATATGGGTACATGTAATGTATATGTGTGCTCTGTGTGCAGCTGCCTCCCCCCTCTTGGGCTTTCAGATCCAGCTTAATATATTTTCCCCACAAACAAAAACCAAAGTGGATGATGCCTTACAATGATAATGCTGAGGTTTTAGTTAAAAATTACACTATGTGTAAGCAAAAGGCTGCTGCTGATTTATTTAGACACTAGCATTTAATGAAAGTAGGTTGAAAGTCTATATTTTATTAACTTTGATTAGCTTGGGAGGAAAGATGTAGATCACAGTTTTCAGAATTTCTCAGAAGTGACACCACTGAGTAGCACAAAGCTCATTTTACACAAAGCAGACAAACTGGGCTTGAATCCATGTCATTTAACTTTATTAATCTAAAAGTTAAAGGAGCTTCTTTAGGGTCTCCAGATTATGGAGCTTTTATAGGATGAATGGAGTCACTCTCTCCTTACCTTGTCTATCATGGAAGCTCCAACAAAGCAGCTGATTTTTAAAGAACTAAATTTGAAATCGATGCCCCCATTAGAAGCTAGATATAGAATGAAAGAGATCTGTCAAAGTATTTGTGCTGTAAAGGCAAAGATAAGACTCATATGTCAGGTCATGTTTCTTTGGCTGTTCTTGCTGTTACTGCTTCTGGGCACAGAGTGAATTAATTGCCACTTAATAATCTGTATTAGGGTACAGGTCAAAAATTAACATAAAAATCCTATGAAAATAATATGTATCTGCCTCTTTCCCTCAATAAGTGTATTGAAAAAGAAATTAAAAAAAAAAAAAACAAAACAAAAAACAAAAAACAAAAGAAAATGCTCTTAATAACATGCTTTAACTTTTGGTCAGCCCTGAACTGGTCAGGCAGTTGGACTAGATGATCACTGTAGATCTTTTCCACCTCAAACAGTTTATTTTAAAACCAAACCTCAAAACTAACAAGAATGCTTTTTTCCAGGCAAATGATCTGAGATATACTGTGCTATAGAATTTAGACTGTGCACAGATACCTTCTGAGGTATTAAAGCCTGATACATAGCATCCTGGACAACTATCACAGTATTCTTTCCCAAAGGCAAGTTTCACTTTAACCCTACTGTTGACCCTACTACTCCCTTCAGAATGTTGTCATGATTTAACATTCTTTAGCCTACTTATCTTCTCTTCCCCCTTAATTTATACCAATTGATTCTCAGGTCAAAATTGGTTTTAGCTGCAGTTACCTCTTGGTTCTAGTGCTGTTCCCACCCCTCCACTTCTCTTTTTTCATGGGATCGTGGTCACACTTAAAGATATGGCCAGCTTTCTTGTTCCCAGTCATAACATCCTAAACATTTATTTGCAATTTTCAGCGCACAGGTAATTGTCATGAGTTTTTAATCACAATAACACATTGACATCATTATGTAATTTGGTGTAAATGATTCTCAACATGCCTCAACTGCTTAAGTTGTGAAAACACATTAAAACAATTTGTTCATAGACAATCGAGTAAATAAATGTCCATTTTAATGTCTACAAATACATCTCATTATATGAGGCCCTTCTATAAGGGAAAGTTAGTATGAACACAGAAAGTAAAACACTTCATTGTCCCTCCACTAGAGATGAAAGAAGTATTTTGCATTGACATTATGAAACTATACCTATTTTAAGCAAAAATAACTCTTACCTCATCAAATCAAAATGGAATTGCTTTCCATTTTGGTCATTCTCATGGCTGACCCTCTCTCCCCACCCTTCTACATTTCTCCCTTGATTTTACTGAACAGTGCTAGGCAGAATTCTGGCTCCATTGATGTTTTTCTTCATGTACAGGCTTTCAGATATAAACACTTCACTAAGAGCAAAGCTCACACAAAACATAGCTACCTGCACCTACATTGTGCCTAAAGAGGTAAATTGGAACAGACAGAGGTGAGGGCTACTGATGAATACACCTGGGCAAATTCTTTCATCTTCTACTACAAAGTCTGTCTGCCACCATAAAGCGATCAGCTGAATAACTTATATTTGATCATATAATTCCTCTCATTCCAGAAAAAAGAGGTAAAAAAGGGATTTTGCATATAAAAGGATTAAAAGTTCATTGATTTTGATTCTACTTTTGTTTGAAAAGAAAAATATCTGATCCTACCTCTTCACAGGTGGTCCTGAAATCCATGTGCTATGACACAGCAAGTGATATTTGTCTAAAATGGAGAGAAAGATTTCATTAGAATGAAAAAGATATTGCAAAACATAAAAGTTATCTGTCTGAGCTGAGCAATTGCACTCCTCTTTGTTAGGTCCAGTTACAGTCATTGCTTAAAAAGAGAAATGATCAAAGTTGCAACAGGATTAGAAGTGCAAGGTGTTAGAAGTTGTTCCTGTTTCTTATAAAGTACACAACCCAGTTTCACCGAACATAATCAAAGGAATACTTATGTTCCCAGAACCTCCTGCCTTCTACATGGCATTCAACCTTACTTTTCTTATTGCAAGTGTAAATTTATTTTTTTTTTGAGGGGTGGGGTATTTATTTGTTCGTTGTTTTTTTCCAAAAGAGTATACTGGAAAGTAACAGAAATGGAGACAATTAAGTTTTGTTCTTCAGAATACCCTCTCTCTCCTAAAAGACTGTTGTTTTTTTTCTTTTCTCCCCTAATTAAAAACCATTATGCATCAATACCTTTTGTCTCACTTTTTATTAACATACATAATCTCAGTGTCATTTAACAGTGGGCCTACTTTGCAGAAATATTTATGAGTTGAAAAAACAAATGTTAGAAAAGTCAGGAATATGTGCGCGTGCTGGCAAAATGTCACACCAAATCCTGTGATTATTACTTTGCCTGGCCTTTACCTAAAGTGTATTCACCCCAATGCACACTTATGCATTCATTTATTTATGAGATAAAGCCACTGGAACAGGCTGTTACGAGAGGGTAATAACAGTGTCCTGCTGCTGGTTCTGCAATGGAAATACTCATGCAACAGCCAATAACATTTCCAGGAAACACTTCCTGGGCAAAACAATAATTTCATTCAATGGCTAGATAAACGACATCTGTAACAAAATCCTCTCCATCAAACATTTTATTGTTATTCTGTATTAACTATGTTTTTACAATTATTTGTATAAATACAGTACTCAAAGCTCCAACACAAAATTTGCCCTATTAGCCTAAGTTTCAAATAAAAGTAAAAAAGGATACCTCACTACAAATATAAGCCCTAATATTAATAATAAAACCTCTTAACCAAATCTCTTAATTTCTTTTGCTGCCCTGGATGCAGTTTTATTAACCCAAGCACACGTACACATACAAGGTCAATGTTCTGTATTTACTGAGCTCTGCCTGGTTCAAATCCTGTGTTCTAGACTAATGTCTAGCAGAGCTAGCTCTAAGCTGGCTAGGTTACAATGCAGGACTTCAAAAGGGACCCACCATCATTCCTTCCTTATCAGCTTTACAACTGCACCAGGATCCAATAAAGATCTCTATCTGTAATTCTGCTCTTGAAGTGCTAATAAAATACAAGGTCACTATTACAATCTTGAAGAGTTTTCTCTCCACTGGGACAGACACCGTACAATGAAGTAAGTTTCCTTGTAATTTTTATGAACCCTCTTTTCTGGTGCTGAGTAAGCTGCAGTGAGAAAGAGGCTTTACTCACCTTAGCAAAGTATTTTGAGGACTTTTTAGCCCTCTGGAACTAGAAACACATGTATCTTTAAAATATGAAGTGAAGTACTGCATAATGTTATCCTTTCTTGGGCCCTGATTGTGTCAGGTCAGTAACTCCTACTGCAGTCAAAAGTGAATTCACTTGTCTTTTATTCTGCCTTATTAATAAAAGTTCTGCAAAGTTTGGGTTTGGGTAACTCTGGTTTCATAGTCAATGACAATTCCTCTTTGGTTCTTTTATAGCTACTCTTTGATCTAAATCCTACTTAATTCAGGCCATTTCCACAATTCAGTATTACTCCATTTTCTTCCTTTTGTTGTTTTTATGTATTATGCATTTATTTATATATTTCAGAAATATTTTTATTACTCCATAGAAGAAAAGTCAAGAACCAGGCTTCCCAGCATCGTAGCTTATTGTATATACAGCTCATGACCTAAAAAGGCTCCTAATTTTGCTCAGATAATAATTTTGCAATCTTAGAAGCATGAAGCTTCACATGAATACCAACTTCTTTGGTGGAAAACCCTTTAAATCCCTTCCTAAAATGTTTTTTCTTAAAACCCATTTAAAAAAAAAACAACCTAACATTTGAAACATCACTGCCATTAACTCCTGCAAGCTTAATATACTGGGTGATATTTCTGAAAGACAGGAGCCCTAGTTCTCTTTACTACGTTTGAGTGCTTTCATGGCAAACAGAGCCCTCAACCTTCAAAAAAACAGTCCTGAGGCTGTAATAATTGTCTCCCATTACCTGTTGGTAATTGGTGAATCTACCTGCCGATCACCATGGTGATACCTCCTTTTTACCCCTGCATGCTAAATTACAAATAGGTAAAATAAAATACACAACCAATACTCTCCTGCGATCCATTTGCTACTGAACTAGGAAGTGGGTGAAGAACACAGAAATGGGTGTTGGCCTCTTCTCCCAAGGGAATAATGACAGGACCAGAGGAAATGGTCTGAAGTTGGGGCAGGGGAGGTTTAGATTAGATATTAGGAAGAACTACTTTACTGAGAGAGTGGTCAGGCACTGGAACAGCCTGCCCAGGGAGGTGGTTGAACCACCATCCCTGAAGATATTTAAGAAACGTGTAGATATGCACTTCAGGGCATGTTCAAGTGGCCAAGATTGTGGGGTTTTTTGTGTGTGTATGGTTGGACTCAGTGATCTCAGAGATCCTTTCCAACCACAACAATTCTGTAAAATAACTTCTCTGTTCCCACACACAGAATTTCCTCTGGGAAAGGTGGTTCAGGCATTTTTTCATGATCTTTGACAAGAGCTTTTGCTATTAAAATATTGTCTAAAACATAAACCCGGAACTACATAATTCTCAACACAAAATCATGCTTATTGCAATGGATGTACCTGTTTTTCAGGAATTCAACAACTCTTTGCAATATAGGTGCCATTGCTTCTGTATCACTCTATTTCCTACTGATTCTCATTCACAGCTGCACACAGAATATAAGCCCATTTTCAATGTTCTTTTTCTGACTATCAGCAATTCCATAACACTTGATATTTTAGAAACAGCACATAGAAGGTTTGATTACAAAGTGCATTACCTCATAAATCAGCTCAGAAACATCAGTGTTTCCCGCGTTTACACCCCAAATAAACACTCTAGATGATTAAATTACAGGAATACATATCATGTATCATGCAGAAATGTTATTATCTTATGCTGGTAATATGCCCCAATGATTAGTACTTGTCTCCTCTTGTAATACATGAAAAAATAAAAAGACAGCAAATATAAAACCTAGTAATTTTAAAAATAAAACATTTGTAAAACAATAAGCTGTGACACCATGGCTGAAAGGTGTCCCCTGTTCAGCCTCTGGCTAACCTCTGCAATCCCCTTACCTTCAAATCACAGCCACTTTCACCTGAGCATCTTTCCAGCTCTCCTAGGAGCTTCATTCAGTCTCACCTAGACAGCCCACTGGTTACCAACCCACAGCCCCCTTCAGCCTCAATATCTGATTTTTCTCTGTTCCTCCCCATCCTCAGGTTGCTTTGGGAAAAAAAAACAAAAACAAACTGTGCTCCAGAAGGTGAGAAAAGAGCTGTCTGTGGCTTTGAAGGATGAGGTGCAGAGGGAACAGCAACAGTGTCAGGCTAGAGTAGGGTGTGCGAGCACACGAGGGGGCATGAGCAGCATGTGTTATTGGAAGTAGAAGAACGGCCGCAACACCAGTGAGGCCTTCTCTGGAAGGGATGGGACATACTGCAATCAAAGATATGTAAACAAGCAAACTTTAAAAAATTTGAATCTTTCAACTTGCTTTTCAAGCCGCACTTCCTCCAAAACTGAGTTACCAAACTTATTTAGCTCATCTCTGCTGATAGATGTAAAGGAAGAAACACATGACAGACAGGTTGAGAACAGAATTTGACACCCCCTTGACAGAAAAAGCAGTTATTCAATACTGAAGAAACATTTACCGAGCAGTATTATTACGGCATTTGTGTCCTAAAGGGAAATCAATGGCTAAAACATACCGGTAGAGTTGAAGGCCATGGCAGCCCTCAGAGACAAAGCTTCATTTAGGATAATGCACTGAGAACTTCAGCTATGCTCTGATCTTCTTACAATAAATCAGGTCATATTCCAGTGCTATAATAGATGTAATCTCACAAAGTACTTCCATGATTATGTACTCTGGTATACTTAATAAAATAAGATAGTGAACAAAAAGAAAATTTCACATGTACACACCAGTAATAAAAAGACACTTCTGAAAGTGCTGGGAAAACCACGAGCCAAATAAAATACTAGCAGGAAACACTTCATTCGCAAGGTTACTGGTGCAAAGAATACAATATTGTATAAAGAAATAACAAGTTCATGGAGAAATGATGTATTATCAAACACAATTTAATTTAGCATATGATATCACTGCAGCTTGTATACTTCTTACTTGATGGAAATAGCTCTCAAGAAATTTTTATTATCTGAGAACTGTCTGAATTGCTAACTGGGAAACGGCCTACAACCAGGTTTCAAAGGCACAAATATCAGATCTGCAACTTACTGTGACAGTAGTTAGAATCATAGAATAGTCTGGATTGGAAAGGACCTTTGAAGGTCATCTAGTCAAAACCCCCTGCAATGAGCAGGGACATCTTCAACTAGATCAGGTTGCTCAGAGTCCCATCCAACCTGACCTTGAATGTTTCCAGGGATGGGGCATCTACCACCTCTCTGGGCAACCTGTGCCAGTGTTTCGTCACCCTCATGGTAAAAAATGTCTTCCTTATATCTAGTCTAAATATAAATAGTTTAAAGCCATTACCCCTTGTCCTACCGCAACAGGCCCTGCCAAAAAGTTTATCCCCATCTTTCCTGTAGGTGCCCTTTAAGTACTGCAAGGCTGCAATAAGGTCTCCCCAGAGCCTTCTCTTCTCTAGGCTGAACAATCCCAATCCTCTCAGCCTGTCCTCGTATGAGAAGTTCCATCACTCCGATAATTTTT